AATTTTGTCTCATCTTGATTACGCATTAATAAAAATGATTTTACTTGTTGTTTTTCGATTTTTAAAACATTTTTAGGTATTAAGTAGTTGGTATTTTTTGGATATTTTTGTGATTTATCTTGATACCTATGTATATTCAAAACTTTAATTTTCAAAAAAAAAAATTAAAATAAGCAAATTTCTGTTATTTTCTATTCAAAATTATCGGGTTTCCTTGCTCGAGTTAACTAAAGTCAACTACCAAACATCTTCAAAAAACGAGGGGTTATCAATTCGTCGAAATATATATTTTATTAATTTTTTGCTGTACATACATATATTACCAGATTACTTTGCACTACATGAACCATTTTCGATAATCTCTTTAATGTTTGCTAAATATTTAGGTGCGGTAGTATCAGCTCCCCACCGTTCTTCAACAGAAGTAAACCAAAGATTTGTAGGGAAAGTACCGGTAACAGAAAGGTAGATCCAACGTGAGACGTGCTTTTCACACAAAAACTTTGAGTCTAAAGTAACCCATAAATACTTTACCTCATCCGAAATTTCTATGCAGACATCACTGAGTACAAGCAGAGTCATATCATCAATACTTCTTCTCCGCGTGAAGAGAAAAATGCTTGTTTTTACATCTAATTACCGCTCATATAGATTCCGTCAATATAACACAAAAGATGAGTCACAAAAGTTATAATAATAATTATATGAGCCAAATTCTGCTAATAACAAAAAAGTTCTTGGCCTAAGTCTTTTATTTTTGAAATTCGTAGATGCCTTTCATCTATGTACCGTGCTGACCTTTCACGCTTATTCGCTTGTCAGCGCCTATGACTTTTCATGCTTCGCTTCGCACCAGGTTATTGACAGACACTTAGTTCTAACGCAAAAAAAAAACAAATATACAAAACAAAAGCAAAAAACCCATAAATTTAAAATAAATAGAAAGAAATAGTAGAAGTATTGCAATAGGTGCCTGGAAACCCAGCGCCATCAACCAAAAAAAAAAACATTTTAGAACACCATGGCAGACATTCTGTTGTGTCTTGCATGGCTGTGGCGTTTATTTATGGCTAGAATGAGGCGCTTGCTACAATAACATTTCGATTCAATTCTAAATGAGCAACGGTATACACCTTTTTTTCTTGCGGCTAGCCACTGGCCGAAGCGTCGTAGTTCATTCATTGAGGGAGGAGGTAGAAAGCGCAGATTAAATCACCAGCAGCTCCACACTCGAACTGTTCTGCATTACCGCCAGCTATTTCTGTATTCTTACTCATTAGCAACTAAAATGTGTGTTTTCTTTTGTTTTTTTTCCAAATTTTCGCTCTCTTAATTTCATATTCACAGCCACTTGGCATTGCTTTTGTTTTTCCTCCTCTTTCGCGCCAATTAGTGAAATTTCGTTAGGGTCCAACGCCAACCAAAGCAGTGAATGAATGTGCTAGCATCGCGATAGACGCAAAGAAGAGTAGCCAAACAGCATAGCGTGCAGAAAGAAGTAGTAGAAGAAGAAGAAGAGCAATTCATTTTAAGTGTTAAAGAAAGCAAACGAGCAAATAAACTTCATCATCAACTACATAACGAGCAAAGAAGGTGGTGCACGCGTATATGCGCAACCCTACGAGTATTTGATTTAGCACCTGCAGCCAAACGATCAGCTGGTGAGCAGCTAAGAAATCGCTAAACGGCCAAAAGCATTAACAAGCGGAAGAGCAATAGCATAAACACCTATTGCTAGAGCATTGGCAACATAATTAACATCGTAATCATCATCATCATCATCATGGCACCTTCATCATCTTGATCATTTGCGACAGCGTCGGCGTTGGGCGCAGCTAACTAAGAAAGAAATGCCAAGTAATTCTTTTGTATCTTCCACTCGCTTGACTTGATGCTTCAGTTGTGCCGCGAATTTCGGTAAAAGCGGCCGCTTATTCTCTCCCAAAAGAAAAATACAAATAACAGTAATAAAATAAAAATTTCATCGTGAGATTGGTTAAGTAAAATTCATATCTATGTATATGAAAGCAATATGGAAATGAAAAAGTGTTTTAAACTCAAGTTGACTATCAAAAAATTTTGCGTATAAATTATTCGCATAAATTAATGCAAAAAAAAATTAATAGATGCGATTATAATTAATGACGCATTACGTGACAACGAAATCGAAGCTGCCTTAAAAATTTTATAAACTAAGGAAGTGTATCCATAGTGAAAGTTTAGATAAAGAAATAATATTCGGAAATCTCAAAAAAAAAAAAACCATAAATTTAAAAATGCTTCGACATAAAAATATTTTAATGCCAATTATCGGCACGCATAAAAATTTAATTTTGCTGTTGCAAATCATTTTTGCTGGCCTCTCATCAACGCTTACGGTGGATAATCAATTGGTATCGGCGAGAAATGGTAAGTACTGGTTAATGAGCCGCATTTCCTACTTTAAAAAGCTAGTGAAATTTCATCTCATTAAAATCTACAAATAAGAATAAGGCTACGGCAGTAAAATCTATTATTGCTACTTACGAGATCTTTGAAAGGCATTGAAAGAATGGTTTGCAATGGCGGAATTGTAGCATAAAAGTTGTTGCATACCTAATTTTTCTTCTGTAATGCTTCGGTTTGTTCACCTCTAGTTCATAAGAGTCCTTGTAATGAAAGACATTTATTTTATTTTTAATAAACATTTTAGGACGTCCAAGTAATTCGGGTCATGCATACTAGAGAGTAGATACATCACTTCCAAAATGTCTTTCTGAAAGTCATTCGTTTCTTCTTTCTTCATTTTTGTATGGAGTGGCACAAGTTGAAGGGCTTCTGCTTTCGCTACCCAAAGGGCGTAGTTTAGAAGGCCTTTTGGAGAAGTTATTTTAATTCATTTTTAATACTAAATATACTTAAATACATTCGCGTAACTTGTAAATAGGAAACCGCTTTCGAGAAGGCATGCCAATGTATTGCAATAGGTCTAACTTAAAAATTGTAAGAAAAAAAATTGAGAGTTGCCACCTGCAGGAAATTTTTTGTTTAAGTAAATTGACAAGATAAAGGAAATATTGCAATGTGACGGCCAAAAGAAAGACATTTTAGAGGGTTCACAGTTCAAAATATCTTTCTGGAAGGGTCACATCTGTTTGAAAGTTTTAATTTAATTTAATTGACCAGATATTTTAAATATTGCAATATGGGTATCAAACTAAAGAGGTTTCGGAAAGTTTGCTGTCGAATGTATTTTTGAGGAATTAAATTGATAAAATAAATGAAGTATTACAATACGAAAATTAAGCAAAAGAACCAAAAGCAACTGTACTTAAGTGTAAGGAATATATTGGCACTATATTCACTTGTATCTTCGTTTTTGATTTGGATGTGTCCTGGTCGATGGGTTCAGGCTTATGGTAGCCCTAGGCTAAAGCCTTCAGGGCTGGCAGTGGTCATGAAGGTTTTTTTCTGCTCTAAGGATCTTTGAGCAAGGCAAGCAAGTGGTCGGACCACTGACCACTGAAGTGTATATTTTTTGACAGGTGAAAGAAATATCTTTATTAATATTCACTGAGATCTGGCTATAAAGCTTTTTCTATTCTTAGATGTTGCTCGCACTAGCGATCGAACCTTGGTCTTACGGAGTGCTAGTACGACCTTCTAACCGCTAGGATACAGTGGTCGGCAGAATAGGCTTCGAAAATTTCCAAGGAAAGAACTGAAATCAATCAGCAGCTTTCCTTTATTCCGTGAAAAAGTAAACAAAATAAAACACCATGCATCGGCGAAAATGGCCTTGAAAACACAGTATCAACAAAAATTTTGTCTGCCAATTTCCATAAAATATTTAGTTTCATTCGCATTCTACATTATTTTGTTGAAATAAATTTTTATTCATACAATTTTATAAGCTTTTAACAAGCTGTGCTTAGCAATGCATGCTGATCAACAGTGGCAAACAATTAAAACCAACAAAGTCAACCATGACAAATGAGTAGATGGGGGATAAGGGAAGCACGAAACCACAAAGCCACTAAAATACGACGCACGCAGATGTATGTAAATTTTTATGCAGACTATGTACAGTGCTTTGTAATTAAAAGCCCAGAAACACGAAAATTTTGAAAAATCGTTAGAACTCCAGAGTCTAGTGTAGGCAAGCGAAAATGTGGGCGTTGATGGAGAACTAACGAAAGGAAGTTGTGCAGCTTTGGCGACCAGTATTGCCTTTTGTTTTATTTAGTGTTGCTGGTCGGGTAATGCCCCCTACTACGATTTATGTTGTCATAGGCATTTTTTTTTTGTTTTTGCAGCCTGTGGTCACTAACCAATTTTTTCGCTGCGTATTTGCGACTTTAGTGTGACCTTATTGAATAATTTATGAGTTGTCACACGAATGTTGACACACTCACTAAACTTGATCAATTAGGTTTCCCTGTTGAGCCATGAAGTGTTTGCTTGTTTGTATAAACATACGAGGATATATTTGAAAGGCCTAATGAGAATGGTGGATAAATGAAGCTAAAACCATTTTAACAGAATATTTTGGCTGAGTGTTAGTTTGTGGCGACTGACCGGATCCACGTTCCGTATGGGACCACACTTGGGTCTGGAAGGTTCATTACCTAATAATGCGTTAGGGCAGATACCACCGCCTTGGTCTCGCCAGAGTTGAGCAATAGAAAAGAAAGAATTTAATGCTTTCGACTTTCTTAACGCCTTGCCAATTGCGACAAGAGTTATTAGTTGGGAAACCCAGTCAGTTAGTCCACATCAGCCGAAAATCGATATGAATAAGGGCGCTGGAACTTTCAATATCAGTGGGAGATTTGGTGCCTACACTACAAGTTGATTCTATAGCTCATCTTTTGATTACAGCTCGAGAAAGTTTTATCTAGCTTAACGAATGGGTTACGGTGAAGTAGAATCCCTCTAAGGTTTGCGGCAAATCAATTTTTACATTGCCTGCGTCTACTCTCTCGCAGTATTCAAAACGAATTGAACACCACGCAAAAAATGTTGGGTAAAAAATATCGATAATTTTTGGCTTTTTTTAGACAAACCCGCTCTTTAGCAAATCGAACCACGTCCGAAAATTCTTAGAAAGTGCGAAAAATATACAAAAAAAATCCGAACAAATCCCAAAAAATACGAAAAAATTCAAAGAAAACCCGAGTCTCGAACGAATTCTGGAAAAGTTTGGAAAATTCTTAAAAGTTTCGGAAAATAAAAGCACAAATTATCCCGAAGACTTAGCAAAAATAATAAACTGTCCCGGAAAAATCCTGAAAAAATGTTGCGAAGTCGTGAAAACTGCAAACAAACATTTTCTTAAGAATATAAAAAAAACTGAACCTCGAAAGGTTCGGAAAAACATCCCGAAATATAGTAACGAAACCCTCAAAAGTTCCGAAAAGTATCCAGCACATCCTAAGCATTCCGAAAATCTTAGAAAAATCTCGTAAAATTCAATACAAATTATCAAATGATATCTACAAAAGATACCAACAAATTCGATCGATTTTTTTAATAAAAGTTGTAACTGATACGGTTCCTGCTCCGCACGGAAGTTATGTATGTCTAGAATAAGCTCAGAAGACTAAACAATCCTTGCATGCAGTGTCGGATTTACCGTAAAGGCAACACAGGCAGGTGCCTAGGCCGGCAAAGGTTAGAGGCGGCAAAATTTGAATGAATTTTTTTTCGAGTTAGCTGCACTGAAAGTAGAATTTATGTGTTTGTACATTTTAAGACATAAATTTGAGATTCAATAACGCAATCAGACGAATATTATTATGATATTATTTAAATAACAATATTTAAAAATACTAATTTAGTATGTTTGAGATTATAACTTGTCAAGTGAAAAAACTTTGTTGATGATGGCTTTCTGTAAAAGTTGAAAACCTTTACTCAAGGCAAATACCACTTTTTCATCTTAAATTGTAATAAAAGTATAGTAAATAACATAAATTTTAATATAACTACATATTTACTGCTAATCGTTCCAAAACTGGTACTTTTACCTCAAAATATTTTTCTTATCGGAAAAAGGGACAAATATTCAAATCCGCCACTGCTTGTAAGGCATCGTTACCGCAGACCTTCTTGCTCTGCTCTTTCATTGATCCCGCGAATGTCATAGCCATTCGTTGAAAAATTTATGCTTAAGTGTTTTTGTCAGCCTTTTTTTGTTAGCTTATACGAGTAAAACAAATAACCAATGCGTATGAATTGTGCGTAAACGATAATGAATGACATTTTTATGCCTTTATCGGAATTAGAATCAGTGCACTTGAAGCCAGTTTGGTGACATTGAAACTGGTAGCTCAACCAAAAATAAACAAATAACTATGAATATTGTAGAGCCAAAAAAAAAGAGTAATAAACAAACAACACGCACTTTACTATTTGCAATGCATTCAAAGACATTTGTTAGTGGAGTACATATGTAAATATTCAATTCACATGTGTCATATGCGCATGTTTGCTATTAATTCTGCTTTTGTTGTTGCTAGTATTTGGCGTTGCACGCATTCGACACACGTTTTTATGTCATTTACTATGACGCTTGGTTGTTGTTGCTTTGCGGTCTGAGACAACCACCGCGCCAAAGAATTTGCATGCAACACACACATTCAATGCGTTCAATGTGCTCGTCATGCACCAGAAAGTAACTATAGCAGCAATAAACAAATAAAAACAACAACAAAAAACTAAAGCCACTTCAAAGCTACATAATCACAGTAGCTGGAGTAGTGGTAGAGGTAATAAAATAATAAAACAACAAAAAAGTTTTTACACACTTAAATGTCATAGAACAGGCGAGTGTTGCCGCGGTTGCTGTTGCTTTTGCTGCTGCTGCTGTTATTACCGTTTATTGTCACTTTAAGCAACGAGCGGCGGCAGGTTGCTCCAAAAAGTTAATTGCCCTTGCTGAAGGTAAATGAGCCCCAAAAACTTAAGGCCTTAAAGACATTTTCTTTGCACATTAACGCTTTGAGGGTGAAATGTGATTTTAAGATTGGTGACGAAGGTGATGCACTCGAGAGAATGTAGTTAGTACCTACTTGTGTGCGAGGTTTTTGTTTAATTTTGGTTTACATCGTTAGTGCTTTATAGAAGATTGCTTTTGGAAACTGTTATATAGTAAATATGAGACAATTATAAAAGCATAGTTAAGCTGATTTCAGAATTTCACTTTAATAAACACTCATTAAAAATCGCTCTGTTTAATTAGCTGAAAGTTCTAGAAAAGCAATTATTCGTTTTCTTTGTTATCTTCTTTGGAGATATTACCAGTAAATTATCTTATTTGACAAAAAAAAACTAAGGCGTGGTGCCTATTTGAATCAGCAAATATTTGGGTATATAACTTTTGGCCAATAAAATGAAATGAAATCGCTATTTTCCAAGTTCTCCACTTCTTGATCAATCCATAACTATAAATAAGAGACTGTAAATAAAAGTTATTTTTATGTTTAACGAAAAAAGGTTTTAATTTTTTTTTTTTAATTTTAGTAAGAAATTAATGATCAAACATACCCTTCATTTTTAATGTTAAAAAAAAAAACTTAGAAGTGATTTTTTAGGTTTTTACGAGTATTTTCAAGATTACCTCGGAATTTATCGTGTAACTATTAACATTTTTTCGGAACTCTTCGGGAATTTCCGTTTTTTATTTTGACGTATTTTGACGGCTTCTGCAGGATTTTTCGGAAATTTTCAACTTTATTTATAATTTTTTTGGGTCTTACTAGATTTTTCTGGAATTTTTTCGTCACCTCTAGGGACTGCTAGAAAGTATTTCTTCGTATTTTACTTTTGTACATTTTTCGGAATTACTCTGGAATTCTTCAGTATAAGTCGCGCTATATATTTGAAAACTTTCGAAATGATTTTTGAGATATTTCCGGACCTTTTGGAGATTTTTCTAGAAATTTAGATCTAAAAGCCCATTTAGAACTTCTTCGTATTTTATTTTCCTACATCTTTTGAAATTGTTTTGGATTTTTTTTACTTTTCTAAATTCTTTGCGTTATGTTTTTTAAAACCTTCGATTTTTTTTTGAGATCTACAAGGACTTTTTGGTATTTTTATTGAATATTTAGGTACTGAAATCTATTTGAAACTTAACTACGTTCTTTATGAATGCCTAAAAATATAAATAAATACAAATTTCCGGTGTACAGGCAGGATAGATATAAAGTATCCACTTATAAATCTAACCTTTCGCGTTAGTACAGTAGACAGCCGTGCACGCTCGATGTGAACTTTAAAATTCAACCAACTCACATATTTACATACATATAATTTTTAAGGAGCTGCATCATTCAACACATTTTAATTATAACGTTTTATTTCGCATTCTTTTTTTACAGACTGCTTTGAGCGTATTGCATTGGAGGCAATGCTGCCATTTGAGAAGACATTCCGCACCGAAGACACCAACTCGCTAAAGATGTGCAAAGAGAAGTGCACACAGGCCGGCGATAAGTGTCAATCCATCTCATTTGGGTCAGTTGCATTGCTGTTGTGCATATTTACTTGCAATCATTGCAACACTTAACTCACAATCGTGATGCGTTGCATTTTTGATTTTGCCTCTTTGTTTCAGCCAATCGATTACTTCATCGATTCAACTCTTTAATTTTTTCGTTTTTTTTTTTTGTTTCTTTGCTAGAGTGCATCGACGCGGAAACGGCACCTGTCAGCTGTCAACACAGACATACAGCACATCAGGCGGTCGACCGAGTGGCGTATTATTCGATCCCGATTTCGATTTGTATGCGCGCAAGTCAAACTGTTTCGACCTGAACGACAATACAATCACATACACTACTTTGAGTGTTGATGGTGGTGGTGATGATGGCTATAGCGGTTTGTCATCTACGGCCACAGTGCAATTACCTAATCGACCGGCAGATCCCGGCACCACTTTGTTAGTCCTTAATCCAACACCCACAACGAGCACAACATTTTCGCATGAACGTCCCACCACAGGCTATAGTCCGGGGACTTCAACTACGTACGGCACTACGCCGGGTCTGTATACGGATAGTGTGAATCCTACGCTGGGTGCAACGACCCCAAACGGTGATCGTTTATACTTCTCACAGGACATCTATCCACTGTACAAATATCCGATGTTGTATGAACAAAATTATCCAGCGCCTAACGACGACGTCTACATACCAGGCGGTTATGCTTCGAATGTACCAGAGGTGAACGACCATTATCGACCACCAGGACATTATGCCAACGATGATGCGCATACGCCACCTCATGGTCCACCGCGTCCCGTATTCGGTTTGGGATATGGTAATGGTTTCAGCTATGGACGGCCCGAGTCATATGATCCTACAACAACGCGGCCATACGACCAAAGCTCACAGGCTGACCGAGATCGAGACCAAAATCCACCCGGCGGTTACACAACTCGTCCCGGTCCCCCATACGCTAGTGACCGTCCAGATCGTCCGGGTTCTTATCCCAATGAACGACCTGGCTCTTATCCTAGCGATCGTCCAGATAGGCCTGCTTCTTACCCTAACGACCACTCCGATGGGCCGGGTTCTTTTCCTAACGAACGGCCTGGCAGTTCTGGCACTTACTCCAGCGATCGACCCGACTGGCCAGGCTCTCATGCCAGCGGTAGTGCAGATTCACACGGTTCATATCCCATTGATCGTCCGGATCGACCCATCGGCCCTCCTAATGTCCAGCGTCCCACGAGACCCGATTACGACCCCACAACACCATCCAATTATTATACACGCCCAGAATATGATGGCCTCAATAGGCGTCCGTCTTATGAACAGCGGCCACCATCATCCGCACTACCACCCACCTTGAGCAATGGCTCACGCCCACCAGGTGATTTTGTGGATTATACAAATCGGCCAGATCCAACCAATGGTTTAAGCACATCAATGCGGCCACCAATGCGTGAACCCAGCATACCTGGTGGTGGCTATGGTGACTATGGCTATGTGCGTCGAAATGGCACAGCTGCACGTCCAGATGGCGGTTATGATGGCGATAAGACCATAGCAACCTACTTCAATCCAGAGGACTACTTAAATGGCAGCAAAAGTAAGAAAATATTTATCAAAATAATGCGAGCAGAAAGTTTCTAATCAAAAATTTTAAATCTCCAGGGCGCCCAGGAAATAGCTATAATGATCGCGTTGAAGGCGGCTTTGGCATGGATAAGATGACTGGTAAGTAACAAATAACATAAGCCATTGCAGAATTGGAGTATGAAATATTAAATTGCAAGACTGGAAACTGCTTTAGAGGATTTGGAATTTCATAAGGGCTCATAATGCGTATATCTTTAAGTCGGGGCTGTAAAAATGCTTTAAGCTGGTTTGTGTAATTTTTAACTCAACTAATAAAATACTTTAAATATTCAGCTAACTATTTGAAGGCACCTAAAATTCATTCGCAGAGCGTGTAATATATTAGGTGCTCTCTGGGAATGAGTCTAACTCATGTGCTTTGTAGACTATTGAATGGCCCATATTCGATAAATGCGATCCATACAGTTAAGAAAATTAGATAAATTCATTGGTGTGTCTTTCAGTTCTGTTGCGTGAACAAAGAAGCTCTTTTTCTATTCAATTCTATGTAACAACAAAAGTATTCTATGCTCAGTTCCATGTAAAAGCAGCAGCCAGTCCAGACAAATAGTTGGTTGTAATTTAAGTCCGGTTCTTTAACTTACGGCTAGCTTATCCATATTAAGAAATCGGGACCTTTATGCAAGTGAGTGCCATAGAAAATTTGTATGAAAGATCTTCTGATTTAAAAAGGAAAAAGTCACAGACCGACCGGGCTTTTTTGCAACTTATTTTGCCGGAAAATAATTGTGCTTTACTCACGTTGTTGCGTGGTAGAAAAATTTTTGCAAGCCTCGCCCACGGCATGACTTTCAGAAAGAAATAGTCCCTAAATCTGGAAGGTGTATAGTCTCTTTAATAGGCAGGCTTTATCTTCAGAAAAATAGACACTACAGAGCACTTTGAGAGTAATTGGAATGAACACTTTCTCAAAAAGGCATTTATTTTAAAGAGGTAAAGGGTATAGCGTCAACGGCCCTTATTGTATCCTATCTTATTTGGACGAGAAATAGAGTTTTTTCTGTGTGCTAAAGAATTTTACAAGCCGCAGGAGAGAACTCACTGTAAGCGGAAGTCGCATACATTTTTTGATAGGAAAGCCAGACGGGAGTCATTCCACCAGCATAATCGCATGTCATTTGTGAGCGATTCGTAAAAATATATACCCTGAAATTTTAATTTAAAAAAATATCTTTCGACTTGTGGGAATACTTAAGTTGCTTCGGGTTAGCTCCAATAGTTTGTAAGAAATAGAAACTTCAAACATTCCATCAATTATCAGCAGCCAATGCAGCTTAAATGCTGTAGATCTTAATTTCACAAATACCTTGGTAGATAAACAATAAGAAATTATGTAATATGAGAAACATTTTCCCTGCGGAAGTTCACTCGAAGGTTTGCAATTGTCTTTCGTGGAGCGACTGAGTGGTAGTATGCAACTCTAAGCATTCGGCTACTGAGATTTACTAACTTTCGCTTAAGTCAATGCGACTAAGTACTTAGTGCTGATTGGACAATTGGGCGAGGGATGTAAAATTAATGAGTTTCATTTTTTGGACATAGGTACGCACATAGGTCGGGTATACGGCGGCTAATACTGGATATTTTCGAGTTTAACTTGGTACAATGTCTTGAACGGAGTTGAGCTAAAATAACGCTGGTTTCACGAAGGGACTCGAGCTTTTCGTGTGCCTGCAAGGATGGTGTGTACGGTAATATTACAACAGGAACTACTTGCTCAGCTTGATGTTATGCTCCTTGATTGGAATCATTGGGACGTTCGACAGATCTATCTAAAGCTTCGTCTACTAAGTTTCGCTAGTCCTCGGCAACCACAAAAGTACTACTAGTTTAGAACCGGACAGCCAATCGTCTTATACTCATATGCTGCCAACAAAGAGGAATGGTTAAGTTATATTTAGTTTAGAAGCTGGAAAGGCCTGAGGGATACCCTTTTACTTAGAACCAAAAGTCATTAATGTCATTTCTCCATGCCAAAATCGAACACTCCCTGGATTTTGAGATAAATGTAATCCCCACAGGTGGAAGAGAGTATTTCGATGAATGTCTACCACTCAGATAGTTCGCAGACCACTCCTTTAGTCTCAGCTTTGGGCATGTCTAGTTCTACCGTCCTCTGACGAGAGGACTTTTTCATGTCAAGGAAGTCATCCTGATGTACTGCTCTACTTGGTGGTAAATGGCGGCAGTAACAAGGCTTCAGCTGTCTTCACTTCAGAGATATCGGGTGACAAAGCTCTCCTGTATTTCTTTCCGGATCTATTTTCTACCTTTTAAGTATTTCTATGGTAGCGAGAGACCGATTTATGTTTATTCGCGGAGAGGTGGGTTACTCCCGCTTTTCACAGTTGTTTTAGCGTTAGTGTACTTAGGCTTTCCAATACAGTGGCTTTGAAGGCTTTATCCGATGAGCGACGCATCTTTGTAGCTTTTGTAAGCAAGTGGCGTGCTTGTGTTTGTCAGTTTGCGCAGCCGTCTGATGGCATTCGCTTAGTACTTTAGTCAGTTCCTTGCATTGGAATGCAGCGGGGGTTTCCCCTCCAAGAGATACAAGATGGGAATAAAAAACTCGCGTTTTGAATCGATTCGAATTGAAATAAAAATAATGGATGCAGGAAGAAATCGCGAAAAAATAAATCGATTTCCCAATAACGATTCATATATTTACCCAAATAACACCTTTAACTTAATTTTTTAAGAAGAAAAACACCGCCAACTGACCAACACTGAAATTACAAGCATTAATGAAAGTAACGGTTTCAATATATAGATAGCTTACCATCCGTAAATGCTTAAAAAAATACAACGATATGAGCATTCAACAGAAACTTCATAAACTCTTAGCCCCTCCCAGGAAAATGGTGAATTTTTTTTCGAAATTTGTTCTTTTTTTTATCGTAAAAGAGAAAAAATATTGTTTTATTTCAAAATTAACCGCTTTAAAAAAAAAGGACTAGCCCAATAAAGCTACGTATACAGGATATTTTTGCAATGCAAAGATTTTTTATGATTTTTTTGTTTCCGCTAACTCTATATTTCGCTACTTAAAAACTATTTTTAGAAAAAAAATTTAGTATGGAGTTTCGTAGCGCATTTTCTTCCATACAAAGAATGCTCGACAAAATTTATAAAAGAAGAAAATGTCTTGCACCGATAACAAAAAAAGTGCCCAGAATCACCGATATATTGTAGCAACTTGAAAATTATCTATATTATAAAACTATATACCCGAAATTTTTCGAGAACATATTATTAACTTATACACTGCCGGTGACTTGTACAGTAGCAGCCTTTGATGATTTTTTTTATTTGTATATAGTATGAGATCAGATTATAAAAAATTAATGAATATTAAATAAACAAAAAGAAAACTGTCAATACTGAGGATCAAAAGGCTCTTGAGTAGGGGAGTGTACATATGGATATAATATGAAATACTAATTTATTAAAAACTCATTAAGTGTAACTGCAGTAACCAGTATTTAAATTGAATCGACATTCTCTGCTAATGAAAATACTTTACTGAGGAGGCAATGATTGTGTGTTTGCCGTAGAGCTATTTGCCAAATGTTGGAAAAGGTTTAATTTTTTCGATATCATTTTGTTCCAAGTTGCGCTTTGGCTACTATTTGGTAAATCAATTAGCCCAAATACTTTAAACTACAAGTCCCGAGCAAAAAAATACTATAATATTTGTGGCACTTTGTCAGCGAGATTAATTATTTTTCCTCTATCTTCAAGAGGCTTCCCAAAGGAGCCCTGTAGTTGGAGGAGAAATAAAAGCAAGTCATTTAATCTTTTGGTCTATGCTGCCTCAACCTGGATAGATACGAGGGCCCAGCCCCCTTTAATTTTTGTACCATCTCAAATTCAAGTTTCCTTAAAATTTTATAGATTTCCTAATGCAATACGATATGCATCAATTGAGAAAAAATCAAATGTTGATTTCCGGAACTAAAAAATCGACAAAAAATCGAATCGGGAAGGCTCGATTAATCGATATTCGATTTAAAAACGGCATTCCTATCTCCTACCAAGGACCGTTGTTTCAGCTGTGCTAAACGCATTTTCTCATCAAAATGCACGATTTTCGTAAAAGAAAACTTTATGTAATGGCATGTAACATACACACATACACGCCCGTACAAGTAGTAAACATTGCGTGCTCGTTCAACCCATGAGAACTGTTAATAAACATTTTTATTTTCTAATTTTTTTGGTTTTTTTTTATCTAACTGTAATAAACCATTTTCAAGAGCATTTTGCAGAAAAAAACTAATTCCACCAAATTACACCCCCAAATAATTGCGATAATTTGCAATTTAAACCGCTTATTTATATGCATAATAAAGTGATAATTTATGTAATTGTAAGTTAGCCAAATTTAATTAGCTACAAAAGCATTTACTTTCAAACTCAAAATAATTAGCTAACGAAATTTTTTACACGACGTTGTTTTTTATAATCCTTTCTAATCACACCAATTCGGTGCGGCTGGCAAAGTCATGGATTTATTTGCATAAATGGAATAAATTTAATCGCATTAAATGCAAATTTGCGCACATTTACTCAAAACTATTGCAACTGTGGGTTTGTTTTAACTCCCACCAGCAATCTTTGAACATTACGGGTGAAGTAAAAAACCTAAACCAAAACTAAAAAAAAACAAAAAAAAAACAAATTTAAAACTAAAAAAAGAAATAAAAAAAGCTTGTAAAAATAATGCCATTTGAAAGATCAAATAAATTGCAAAAATGGTCACTCAACTGACCCACATTTAGTTTTGCGTTTCGTCGATTCATTTCAACTTGAAAACTTAGAATATTCACATTTGATTTGCAAAGGTACGAGTGTTATAAATATATTTGCATTAACCAGCGAGCCAATGACAATGTTTATTTGCTTAACCACAGACATACATACATACATACATATAGGCATGCATAGAAGTATATGCCGATTACGATGGCAATTTCAATACCAACGGCACATACTCAATCATTTGCAGGTATCTAGATACTAATATACATACATACATACATACATACATATGTACGCATGTATTTGTTCAGAAGTTA